GCCCCCCCTCACATACATGGGAGACCCGCCCGTAAAAGAAGAACAATCGGCGCGCCACGGGAGACATCCCCCCCCGCGACAGCACACACACGGATGTAACGCGCACGGGCGATTTTCTCTCTCTCTCTCTTTGGACACGCGGCGCACAGCCCTCTCACGGTGGGAGAGGGAGGGCCTCCACCCCCACCCAATGCTTAGGGGTGTGCCCCCCCCCCCCCCTAGCATGGGGGGAAGCCTTTGGGGGGGGGTTGGACCCCCCCCCTAGCATGTGGTGGGAGTAGAAGCCCCCCCCCCCCCCCCCTGGAAGCGATGTGCGCCTGCTCTAAAAGAGAGAGATAGAGAAAATCGCCCTTGCGCATTGCATCCGTACGTGTGCTGCTGCCCGGGGGCATGGCTCTCGTGGCGCGGGACTCGTCTTCTTCAAAGGCGCGGGTTGCCGATGGATGGCAGGAGGGGCTCCTCGGCCGGCATGCACGGCACACACGGCACGGGCTGCGCGACCGGCACACCGCTGGTCTCGTCACACTCAACATTGCATTGCGAGAGGGGGGGTGGCGGGTGGTGCATGTACACAGTAACACACACCAACGCAACGAACGTATGCAAACGGCATGCATCGGCACGAGCGACACACAGACACAAACAGGCTTTCAAGACACACTTAGGTTAGGTTAGGTAGGTGAAGAACACTGGCACGACAAGAGTGTTGTAAAGAAAGCGCGCCTGACCCAGGCGCGAAAACGAATCTGCGAGGCGTGGCCGCTCATGCGGCCCGATGGGGAGGAGTGGGGCGGACTACGGAGATCGGCTTCTTACACAGCCCTTCCCTGCAGCGAGCCCCCCTCCAACCCACCCGCGCTAGGTCCCGGGGGAAGCAGGGGTCAGCCCCGCGCGACCTCGGGAACTAGCCGGGGCAGTTGGAGAGGGGCAACTCCGTGCACTGACGGTCGGCCGCCAGAAAACACGCCTCCGTGGCTCGGGTTACACCAATCCTCGCTACCCAACGCGGCCAAAGGATATCCACCTCGAGAACCTCGAGAACACCAATCCTCGCTACCCAACGCCCATGTGTATCCCGCGCCTCGCGGGGGGGGCGCGGATATCCACCTCGAGAAGACGGGGTTCGGTAACGAACCGTGGTTTGATTGCAGCAGGTACCTCGTTTGCCTCTCGCCTCGCCCGGCGCCCGGCGCGACGCGGCGCGAGATGAGAGCTGCCAGCGCGCGTCCCCGGCCGCGCCTCGCCCCACAACCACCTCTGCAGCGAGCCCGTGCACGGCTGCACGCCATGCTGCGACCGCCGCGCGAGCGGCTCGCTCCGCGAGCGACGCGAATCTGGCACAATCATATCGCGGTCGGAGCGCTCCTGAGTGCGCGGCCGCGGGTCGCCTCCATGCCTACTGCCTCCCCGCGCCCCCCAAAACGAGCCCGCGCCCTGCTCGTCCCATTTTATGCTGCTGACGCTCGCTCGCCGCCGCTGCGCCCTCGCAGATCAAAACAACGTGGGCGAGGCGGGCGTGCCGCGGTGGTCCTAGGTGCTGGGCCTCAAGCTGCGTTCGCTGCGAGTAGGTGCGGCCCTTTTGCATCCCTCTCGATGTGCACCAACAAGCCTAAGGTCATCGCCATCGTGCAACTCGTGCTCGTGTCCCTCGCGCTCATCCTCTCCATCATCGCCCTGTGAGTGACGCCGGATCCCGCTGCGCCCCTCGCCCCAAGCCCCGATGAAGGTTCCCAGCAGCTGAGGGCTGCATGTTCGCACAGTGTCGGCGGCGTCACGGACGATTACGACACCCTCAAAAACACGTACTGGCTCGGCGCCATGGACGTGGAAACCCCGTACTACGACTACGACCTGTACAGCGACCTCCTATGGGATGTGTACTTCGGCTGGCGAAGCGCCTGCCAAAAGAGGGTAGGCGGAGTATTTGCTGTTTGCGACGATTTGGAGTGGGACAAGGAGGACGCGGCGACAGCCATGGGCGTCCTCGCCGCCCTCTTCTCGATCGGCTCTGTTGTCCTCGGTGCCGTCAAGCTGTGCAAGCCCAACAAGCTCGTCAACATCATCGGATGCGTCGTTGCCTTCCTCGCAATCATCTTCACCATCGCCTGCTTCGCGATGTGGGCTGACGTGCGTGCGCCGTTCCTGCCCCCCCCCCACCCCCTT